AAAGGCAGAACAAAGTAGACAACAGCATGTGCTCTAAATCCTGCTCTGTGGGTACTTCTGAGTACAGAAGGCACTCAGATACTTCCTTTTTTGTCTCACCTTGCTGAACCACTTTTTACAAATGTTGGAGTATTTCCCTGTAAATAAAGAATAAAGAACCCAGAAATGAGTGTGTGAAACCCCCACAGCAAAAACTGTATAAGCACTTTGTATAAAAATAGGTGTTTTCAATCCTAAGTATGCACATTATCACGCAGGCCACTGGCGAATTAGGGGGAAAGGCAGCCTCTAATTGGATTAGGAGATAATCCATGGAGCACAACAATATTACAACAACCTCTGTGCCTTTGTGTTGGCAGATTGAATGTCATCCATACCTCACCCAGGAGAAGCTGATCAAGTACTGTCACAGCAAAGGGATTGCTGTGACAGCATACTGTCCCCTTGGCTCTCCTGACAGGCCATGGTAAGATTTTTTTGCAATTTCCAAGGGAGCTGGCATGGATTATGCTTGTAACATTGAGGCTACAAATGCACTATTAATCATTCATCTAGATACAGATCTCTGCTGGCTGGATCTTTCTATGGAGGTTTCTTGCCACTGATTTCTTTTCTCTGTGTAGGGCTAAGCCAGAGGATCCTTCCCTTCTGGATGACCCCAAGATCAAAGAGATTGCAGCCAAGCACAACAAAACCCCAGCACAGGTACGTACATGCCAGACAATGGGTACTCCTTCCTGTAACACAGCTGTTAAGGAAAATAGAGCTGAGGAGTGGGTAGACCATCCATTCATTCCCCATGAATTTTGTGGCACTCCTCTGATTTTTTCCTTACCATGCAGATTTTTTTATTATATGGCCTGCAAGACATTCTACTGTTATCTCTTTGGTCCTCAAAGAGATTCTTTACCCATCTTCAGATGTCACTTCCCCTCTCAAGTCCTCCTGCAGAGAATGGAAGCCTTGCATAGACTGCTGGAAGTCCAGGTGGGAAGAAAAGGAACTGACCATCCCAAAACTGGATGGAAAAGGAGGCCTTCCATGTGGGCCTCCACCACTTCCCTCTTTGCCCTTCAGGATGTGCTACCTAGGCCACAGGGATGGGAATGATTTGAACTGTAGCTCCACAGAAAGGGTTTAGTTCTACTGAAATATACACTTGATGGCAAACAGCTGTTGGAACAGGCTCTGCTTCCTCCAGAGCAGAGGCTGTCCTCTCTCTGACTCAGTGGTCTGTTCCTGCAGGTTCTCCTTCGCTTCCAGATCCAGAGAAATGTGATTGTGATTCCCAAGTCTGTCACACCACAGCGCATTGTGGAGAACTTCAAGGTGAGTGATTATGAGTGAGCTGAGTGCTGCCCTTCAGGGATGACATGGCTTCTCCCTGCAGAGCAAGCAGCAATCCTTTCTCACCCTTCCCAGGTCCTCCTCAGGCAAGAGGTCTGAGCTTTTTCTTTCTTTATGCTTACCTACACTCTGCTGAGGGTTAAGCCAGGCCTACTTTTGGAGATGACAGATGAACAGGTCTTATATGGTATGTCATGTCCTGTGGCTTGCGGATGCATCAGAAGGCACAGCTTGCTTGGAGCCCACACACAGTAACATGCCAGTAAAGTCTTATATAGAATAAGCAATGTTCATAAAATAGTTCCTGTTTCCATAAAAGAAGTTGTTCCTCTATCTGTTAATTCAGTGGTCCATGACTGAAAATGGATCCTCCAAGGTGGAGTTGCTTTCTAATCTTGTCTTTCTTTACACGGTTTGATTTTTCAAAGAGATGATTTCCAGTTGTTTCTCTTGTTAGGTGTTTGACTTTGAATTGACTAAAGAGGAGATGGCAACCATTCTCAGCTTTAACAGAAACTGGAGGATCTGTGCAATGAGCATGTAAGTGACACTGCTTGTTTGCTTCTGACTCTGAATATTCTTTACAAGGAATTCTGTGTCACAGCTACTAGGTAGCATGAAATGCAGTTTATTCAAAAATCATGCCAACTCAAATTCCAACTGGTTTGTCAAAAAAATACTTTTTCAGGAGAGGGTTTAGTATTTTCATTTTAAAAACAAAACAAAAGAAACAAAACCAAATTACATTCTCATTTTGAATTCAGTTTCCAGGAAACTGTAACTTGAATTACAAAAAATGGGTTCTGGATGTTCATTTCATCTTTGTTTGTATTAGAGAAATGAGGACACCTATCTCCATGTATTCTTCCTGTAATTATTACATGATGCAGATCTTCCCTTAGTGGCTCCTCCATGCACCCCACGCACCTCTATATAATATTTTGGTCACTCATGAAAATAACATTCCCTCTTTGATTTCTTTCAGGTCCACAACTCACAAGGAGTACCCTTTCCATGCAGAATACTGAAGATGCTTGTAACATGGCCTTCACTGGACCTCTGGTGTCTCATGTGCCTCCGCTCTAACTTTGAGCTGTCTATTTATCTAGTTTTCTTACTGCTGCCAGTGAAGACATGGGATGTTTATCTCATGAAATTTGAGTTCTTTTTTTGGAAAAAGGAAAGAGTATTTTCTATGGAATAAAATGTGGGATGTAATAATTTTCTGCTTTTTAGAAGAGAGGATTACTCCTGAAGAGCCTAAGCAGAGGTGCTAAGCAGAAAATGGGGAGAGTTTGTACCACCATTCAGTGATTGCCTTCCATCTCGTATCAGCAGAAACAAGATGTTGACAAACCACCATGCATGCACAATTTCATCAGAAGTGTCCCATATTTTAAATAAAATTAACTTTAAAATGCAAAACCATAATTGGCTGAAAGTCTTCGGTCTAGTGTAGGAAAAGTCAAAAACCCTCCTACCCAGAGAGGTTGGCTGCAGTCACTTGCACTTTGCGGACAAGCCACTCGGCACTTTCCCCTGCGGGCACCAGAGGGCAGCCAGCCCTCAGAGGAGATCTGCATTACCCCTTTTCTGCCGGCCGCCAGCCCCCAAGATCCAGCCACAGCCCCCTGCAGTGCTGGGGGGCATTTCAGGTGCCACACAACCCGGCATCTGCCCCCCGGTCAGGGAAGACTCAGCACCTTGCTGCTGCGCCTAAAACCCCAGCACCTTAGGATCTTCTTCCCAAAATTTCCACTTTCAATTCACAAAGATATAATCCAAGACCATGTGTTTCTCAGCTTCCTGAAGGAAGCAGCCCATAAAGCCCTCAGCAATCTCCAAGCAGAGGTAAGATATCCATCCTGTGAAAAAACACACCATTATTGAACGCAGCAAGGGTCCAATATTTAATCCTAAAACCCCAGCACCTTAGGATCTTCTTCCCAAAATTTCCACTTTCAATTCACAAAGATATAATCCAAGACCATGTGTTTCTCAGCTTCCTGAAGGAAGCAGCCCATAAAGCCCTCAGCAATCTCCAAGCAGAGGTAAGATATCCATCCTGTGAAAAAACACACCATTATTGAACGCAGCAAGGGTCCAATATTTAATATGGCA